CTCTTTTTTTTTATATTCAGGGATAAATAGGGAAGAGGAAAGCAGAAAGCAGAAAACACAGCATCTTGATGAACTTTTAAAGAACTAGAAGTTTTCCATCTTCAATCCAACCATTTGTTGTTCTCCTATGTGTCCATTTAGCTAATTAACTGCCTTACTAATATTAACTTAACTTTAAAACCTTCCAGTAGGGTAGGGAAAATTTCCAACTCCCCTTTACAGGGCCAAATTTAAGCAGTGGAGGGATTACATAATTAGGCTGTAGCTAGATAACACCAACAGCACAGCCAGGCATCAAGCCCAAGGCTTCCAAATCTTTGGAAGATTTAGCTGCAAGACCACCCCTTTTCCTACGTATAAATTCAAGGAGGTTGCTGAGGCATGTAAATTCTGCCTTCCCTTGCAGCCATCACCCAGATATCTCAGAAAATGCTATTTCTTTTTGATGCAAGAGAAAGCAAGAAGAAAATTATCATCTAGAATCAATGATATCCTACCCGGATCATAACCATGTGGGATTCTAGCAGAATTTCTGCAAAGGACGGCTTCAAAACATCCAGGCTGATATTGGGCACTTTAGAAAAAGAGAGAAAAATAGATTAGAAGTCTGTATGATTTACTTTCATTTGCCTCTCTCACAATAAACTAAACTCTATCCTCCTATGACAAATCTGCTTCTAGCTCCTCTTTTAATTCCCTACGCAATTCATTCATATTCTAAACACAGTGGCTTGCAGTCAGAAGTATCCCCCAGTGAATTTCATAACTGATGTATTCCTAGATTTCCTCCTTTACTTCCAGGAGCAAGAGAAATAGCTATAAGTCCATGAAATAAACAGATCTGTATTTCTAACGCAAATTAGAGACATATTGCTCATAGGCTGCTGTTTATCTGTAAATGAGCCTTGAGTGTGGGAATGTAAAATGCATTACAACAGAAGTGGGAATTCTACCAAGTCAATGGCCCAGGATTCCTCTCCTTTGGTTTGCATACAGTCGCTCCGAGGATGAAGAACACTAGCTTTTTTAATAACTCACAACTCAGCCCAAGTTACCTGCATTTCATGGGATGAAAATTGTATGGAATAATTGAGGCCAAATGAGGCTGTGACACACATCTAACTCCTGGATGAGGCTGCAAGGCCCATCTGTCATTATTGGCAAACTTAGTTCTCTCTCACACTTCTATTCATTTCTTGATGGTACCGCAAAGCCATTATTTAGCGTGCCCTCGGTAAGAGAAGGAAAAAAATACACCAGAACAGGGTGGATCCTAGCTTTTTAAGAAAATCATTAAACTATATATGACACACTCATATCAATGACAATAATTCCCAATTAAACAAATGATGTTAAAAATAACAGCCTGTACTGCACTGCCTACAGAACTTCACGCTTTTGTTACTCATAAAGCTCTCAAAATCCTTAAAAAAGTCTTTATACTTCCCCTACCCTTGAAGCATTACCACCAGATTACAGTACAAACAGCGAAGCAGAAAAAGGCTATGCATTTCTGACCAACTGGCCCAAGTTCAGCAAGTTCGTGCTTCAGTCAGGAAAGAATACACAAATTCCAAACACTGAATGGCAGTTCTTGCTATCCGATAGCTCATCCCTTCCTTTAACAGCAAGCCAAGATGCCTTCTCAAAGGGAAAGGAAATAAATGACTTACACTTTGGGTTAATGTGATCTTCAAAGTTCCAGAGGGAATTGGGACTCTCCTTCAGGTATGGTGTGCAGGTGACTTCCACTTGTTCCCAACCCCTGAGAAACAGCAAAACAGTTAGCCACCACCCTGCAAAAGATCACTCTATTTCCCATTCATGACTGATTTTTTTCCCCATTTAGCTTTATACCTCCCCATAACACCTACCACACCACTCAACCCAGCAGCTGCATTCTTACACACTCTTACATGCTTTAAGCGCCATGTAGAAACCAAAACAGATCTGCAAGGCAGCCAACATAAAAATTCTACTGAATATTTGAACCACATTTCTAACTTGGGGCATCTAGACTAAAAAACGTAGGTCCACGCATAAGCAGTGGGATTTTTGAAGATGATGCATGTTGACAACTAGAAACTACTTGAAGTCAACCTTTACATTCTCTCACTATCGTTAATTTAAGTCTATCCATGCCTACAGGAACTGTATTACAGAAACAAAAGGAAGACTTTAGAGGATTCCACCAACTGTTCATTTACTCTGTCATCCTATTTCTAACAGGTCACATCAAACACTTCAGGAGAAAGTACATAAAACCCTGCTGTAATGTGACAGATTAATAAGGATTTTTCTATCAATCACCACTTAGCAGACTTAACTCCACTAATTAATTAATTCCATTAATTAATCACCACTTAATTCTCTGAAGGACAGCGATTGCTCCCTTTCAAATTCCTAAAAAAAATTATAAAAATCCAATATACTCTAACCATCCTTATTTGCAGTTAACAAGTATTTTTTGCCCTGAGCTCTTAATGTCATCAATATTTTGTGGCAATAACTTCCATTCACAGGGAAAGTTTGTGTTAGGGAAAAAAAGATTATATACCCCCTTTCTGGAATCCTGTTGACAGAGGCAGCGATTTTTATGTTTTTTAAAGCAATCATATTATTTACCCATGAGCCTATTTTTACTGTTTTAAACTCTAAATGGCACTGACATTCCTGACCAGGCAGTCACCAGAGGTATCTGCCTGTGCTCACTATGATTCAGCATCCACAGGATTCCTTAGAAGCCCTTTTTAACATAACACAGTGATGGGAAACCTAAGCTGGCATTAACGGAGGCTGCTCGGGAAACAGAAGCAACATGACCGCACAGCCTGCTGCTTCAGGATCCATGCTAGCATCCCACACAGTACAGCTTTGCAGATACAGCAGCTTGCTTGGCATTAGTCTGGATCTCTCTGCATATACCTCATTTTGATGACGAAGATATATAATCCAAGCACATATTAAATCACAACCCCTGCTAACAGCAGCTTGTTACTGTTGCCCTTGCTTCAGATGCCGCATGCAAAAATGGCAGAAGGTCTTCCAAGCACAAAAGAAATTCATATCAATAAAAAGGAATTTGGAGGATTTTGGTACAGAACAGCATGAACTTCTCCAGATTCTAGCAATTTTTGTGAATCCCGAGGATAAAATGGGCCTTGAAGAACACGTCTGTCATCCCCTCCGGGACTCAACAGATGACAAGATCTTTGCCCATGCCACTTTTGGATCTCTTAGTAAGGGATATTATTTTTCAGAGCTGCATATCTTCACTGTAGCAGACTGCAAAACCCTAACCCAGATCTTCCCCCCGGTTATATTTTTAGTACCTGCTAGTTACTTTTTGATTCTTTCAAAGATCAAGAAATGGAGGAAATGTGGTTATTGCTTAGTTTAAAAGTATCATTGAGCAAAGGAACATGTCAGCTCAAGGCCTTGCAGAGGTGGAGGGGGATTACAAGCTATTTACCATTTTGGTAGAGTCTTTCCAGAAGAGCCCAATATACACCCTGTGGCCACATGGGTTAGCCGGACTTGACTCCGCAGGACTTTGATGAGCTTCCCAGCCTTTCTGCCAACCACTTCAATCCGCCAGAAATCATTGGAGTCTCCTGTGCCGTTCTATCATGCAAACATACCATAGGAGGAAAAAAACAACAAAAACAAAACACAAAAAGCAAAAACAACCCCCAAAAATCCAACTAGAAGACATACAGGATTGAAGCACTGCAAACAGAAACTTCTGAAGCTCTAATGATGGCAAAGGTAAACAAAGGAGCCCAGGTAACCCTCACTCAGACTTCACAGAAGAGATTCCCCATCAGGAAGAGATGATTCTAGATACAAACAACTACTCACAAATACATTTTTATCTTGCCAACCTTACATATTTTTGCTTCCAATTCATACTTGACTGTGGCTCAGAGTTACATTTTAAATGGGGGTAAATTGGCCGCTTCACAAAAAGGGTTTAGGCAACAGCCCCTTGCATTTGGAAATTCAGCCCTCAAAGCAGATTTCATTTTCGTAATTCAAAATTCTGTCATCATTCTGTCAACAAAAGGCACTTGTCTATGTGACAAGGCCAAATACATAAAATAATACTTGTCAGAGCAACTTCAAGGTTGCTCAGTTTGGCATTTCTGGAGTTGAATGCTGCCAAAGTTAGACTGGCAGTAAAAGCTTAAGTTATTCTCTTGTCTGTGTTCACATTAAATAGACCTTAAATATGAGATAAGCTATTTCATACTAAATCAGTTTTTCCTCCAGTATGGTAGATGCACATCTATCACCTTGGCTAACAAACTAGAAAAGCAAGAATAAATCCCCTTGGCATGGTATGAACTCTACCCAAAAGAAGGAGCTTTTGTTTTATCTTGCCATTCACTTACTATTCCATAGCCAGTGACCTGAAAATGCTTCCTTGTCAGGGGAGCCTCATGCTGGTGACTGTGAAGATTTCTAGAAGTTCTGAAATGAAATTAAAAGTCAAACCTTGCTTTGTTTTTATGTCTCAGTCAATTTGTGAGAAGAACTTTGCTCTGGGCCATTCAGAGAGCTGCCAGCGTTTTGACCATGCAATTCCAACCAAGGGCAGGGCAGGAGCAATGGAGGCCACAGAGTGAAACTGCCGCTTCCTACCGCACAACTCTGAGCTTACACCACACTGGGCAGTGCCAGGAAAGGAGGACAGCATGAATAAATCCAACCTTCAAGCTACAATCCACCACCTCCAAGTAGAAAATACATTGTTGGTTTTGGGTTTGTATTTTTAATGCTGGGACTAACAGTCCTGCTCTTGCAACAAGCAAAGCAAGATCCTGACCTCTCCTGGTTACCAGTTTTGCTTTAGAGGGGAAAGATCGTACCATTTAGTGAGGCACAGGTTTACTGAGGGCAAGATCAGTGGCCCTCATTGGCACCAGTTGTTCACGGTGCAAACAGCCTCCTGCCCTAGCAGAGACTGCTAACTGGGGCAACCAGAAAAACCTGGCCATAACCTGGTCAGTCCTTAATAAAACCACTTCGATAATGAACCACCCCCGCCAACAATACAGCTGCATCCAGCCCGGCCTTATCTGCACAGAAACCCTCTGCCCACACTGGATGTGGTTCGCACGCAAGGAGACGGGAGCCACCTGCCGGACTTTTCCTGCAGCACCACAGTTTCCCATTCCAGAGACTTAATAAAAGACCTAACCAGCATTGCCTAATCAAGCTTTTATCACCTTCATTATCATATATTTGGCAGTAAACCCCAAAATTCAAGGCACTTTTTTTTTTTTAAAATCTTAAAATCACTTCGGAAACCTAAGCAATGATTTGTGAACACGCAATATTGAATGCAATATGACATGATTTCCAGGCTCACAAGTTTAGAGCTTCTGTTAAGAAATCAAAGCTGTGACAGCACTGAGCATTGTGACACAGTGACATTAGACCAGATGAAAATTAAATATCAAGTCACTAGGGTTCCCCTGCTCCCTCTCGGGTGTTCCGTACAGAGAGGGGAAGGCACCAGCTGACATTTTTGTTAAAAGGATTTCACTGTTGTGGTCTCAGTGCTGTTGAGAACTTCGGCAAGTGGATACTGCCTGTGCACACAGGAACAGAACACTTGGAGTACACTGACAAAAACCCACACTATTTGTCTAGAAAACTCGGAGAGTGGGGACAAGCAACAGAATGAGGGCTTTGAAACTGCTTCTTTGCAAAGGAGTTACCCTTAATATTGCACCTCACACAGATGAACAAAGCCCTCTGCTCCTTGGGTAGGTATTTCCAATGAAAAAAACTCCACACTGGAAATGCAGATATACAGATACCTCTGTCACACAGCCTGCTTGTGCTGGCCTAACTATGTCGTCTCCAGCAGGAGAAATCTCCCACCAATTCTGTTCAATCTTGGAATCCTAAAAATCATCCTTACTCTTTATGTTCCAGACGAATAATATCTCCGTGCCTCACAAACTCCACAGGGCTCGAGGGGTGTGACAGATCTGCTGAAGGAAGGCAAATTAATCATATCAATGCACTGACAAACATATCAGGGTCTTAGAAAGTTTCCTGGGAAGGCTCATGCCTCAAGCAGACAATACAAGGCAGACTAATTTGTGTCAACCCTAAGCCTAGTGTAAACCACTGCTCTAGTTTAAAGACCAGCCCTGAGGGCTACTCTAAAGAACACGGCCCCAAGCAGCACACGCTGCCCTTAAATAAGGAGGATGCCTGGTCAGGATAACTGAACACCAAAACCATATATTTATTTTACGTTTTTATTTCATGAACTATAAAATGACTCTTGCAACACTGATCATAATTTTGTTATATCTAGGTTATCTGATTTTTTTGTGGTTTAGACAATTCTTGTCAATTTTTACATACATGTGCTGCACGTGAAGAAAGGAAACTCTGCCACACCAAACATGTCTCAGCTAAACTGTATGATATTCTAAAACAACAGATGTATGTACAAATCGTAGATCTTCACGTTCAGTACTCTTATCTTGTCCCAAGCAAACATCCATGCAAATCAGCTGAACACAATGTATCAGAACATACCAGGACCCAACTCTGCCAGGACCTATAGCCACAATAATAAATTCCACAAAATACTGAGTTCAGAATAATTTCCTCTCTGTTATTTGCAGCCCTACCTAGCTGAAAAGTTGTCAATGCGACCTTCAGCTGAGAAAAGCTTATTTACTTCAGCTGTATAATCTGGAGAAAAACAAAAAACACAGTAGACACAAACAGTGCTAATCAAGATGGAGCCAGATTCCCCTTGTTCTTCCTCCTCTCCCCCTCATATCCATGAAGGATACTTTGCCCTGGAGGGAACTCAGAATATTTAAGTGAAAATCAGAAGCAGAAGTTATTAAAGGCACTTTACTGATATTTGTTACCTGTATCTGAATCATGTTTCTTTATAATCCACAGGTTATTCAAATCTTTATGTAAGTAGGCAGTGACCTGAAAGCACAGGATAAGGTATTTTACCAAACAAGAAAAAAGCTGGTGATAGCAGACGCACATTTGCCAGCAAATTGAAGCCCCAATAAATGCACCAATAACCCTAGGATGACTTTTATGATAGTCAGTTACTGGCCACTCCTTATCCAGATGGCACCTTTTATTCAGTGTATAGCCCATACACTCACGAGCACTACACTTAATGGCAGTTCACATGCAACAAGTAACAGCCTCCAACCATACAGCTTGACCTCCTCTCAAGCTTCAGGAGGAGGAGAGGATGCCTACTTCAGAGGCTCCTTCTACAATAGGATATCCAAACCTGAACTTTTTTAATAATCACTGACCAGTACCAGAACCAGGAGATGGGCACAGCACTGGCTTCACAGACAGGCGTCAGTGGCAGAGATTTATGACAACAAGCTGCCTGTGACAACCATAATACTTCTGCTAAAAGATCCAGGCAAAGTAAGAAGGATTCAGGGATCAACTTTAAAGCCGCACATGCTACCCAGCTAATCCTTACCGGCCTGCTCAGACTCATGCAGAGTAACTGCTCCTACTGTTATCACGGGCAGGGGAGACCATCTGGCCCCAGGGTGCTGCTCCCGAGGGCAACCTTCCCAAGCAGCATGAGGAACTGTGCCCACTTTGCTTGCTCTCCTCTTCCAGCAGCAGGAAGCCCTGCTTGTGGGACCCTAGACCAGTGCCTCCCACTCAGGTGGAAGCAGATGGCCCGGTGGGTGGGTGAGAGGCAGAACATACAGTAGTGTCTGAAGGTGGGGGGAAAAGGGAGAGCTGGGTGTGGATACTTTGAGGCTATATCATCAGGAGAGGAGTGAAAGGAGGAGGCAGAGATCACTGCCTGTCTTTTCCTCCCTAAATCTCCTTCAAGTTCTAAATTCCCTTCCCGTCTCCACAGCCCCCAAACTGTCCCAGCCCCCTACCCTTGTCCTATCTCCGGAGCAGGGAGCACAGGGGAGTAATCTCCACCCTTTCCCACTTACCCTCAAGGAAACTCCCACCAGCGTCCTCTCCAAATCCCCCTTCCCTGCTTTTAGTGTCATAACGCATGCTCTGCACTTGAATTTTGCCTATCCTTGAGTCAGTTTTGTTATGACATCTGCATCTACGGTAATAAACATCAATGTCACATGAGAGTATTAGAATTTTTGGTTGGGAAGCACAGCAGGAAAAGAAGATTGAGAAAAAGTTTTCATTTCTGAAAACTTCTTCCTCACCACGGAGACTGAAAGGAGTTACAAAACAAACACTTGTTTTTCTCTGGCAACTTTCTTTGAAGGAGCTCAGAACAATTTTTAGACACGAACATGCAAACTGCAAAATACATCTTGGAAAAGCTGCAGAAGCTGCAAAGATTTATGAAGCTTGATGATGATGGACAAAAATAAAAAATTCACTTAATTTTTGTACTATTTAATTAGCGATAGTTACATGATTTCTGATTTTTATTTTGATTTATTGCTTAATCATTTAATCAGAAGCCCTTAGAGAGTTCAGATAGTCTAATTATGGCTAGCTTATGAATGTACAGATATCTAATTTAATGAGCAAAGCCTTACAAATTCTTTGGTGACAGATGAGGAAAGCAAGGCACAAAAGGAGAGTAATTCATGTAAAGTCACAGAGGCCAGTGGCAGGAAGGAAAACAACACGCAGCAGCCCTATTCTGTTGCTTTTAAAACACAGCAATGAAACCTATAAGATACAGTAGTGTATTTGTTTTAAACAAAAGTTTTACAGCCTTCCTTGAGGTAACAACAGCACTTCATTATGGAAAGTTATTCTTAAGTCCTCTTGGCCTCCATCCATGGAGGGTGGTCTTGCTACTACAGTGAAACCATCCTGCTGTTAAGTCACCTCTCTGGTGCAGCGTGGCAGGCTCTCTTCAAGCATCCTTCTTACTCAGACTTGCAAGCCAAGTGCACAGCTGTGGCACTGAGAGGGTAACAGATGCCGAGTAAATACATAGCTGCTGTCACCACAGCACCTAATGCTAAGTGCAATGGGAGCGACTCCGTGGTTGTAGTCAGAGGCAGTACTACCACCGTACACTAACCTGCTGCTGGCGAGCCCCAACGCCTTCCGGGTAGAGGTGCCAGTGGGAGTGAAGGTATCCCCCTGCCATCCGAAGGTTCTTCATTGTGACCACAGACCCGTACGCCAAGTCTACACGGGAAGGAAGGTGGAAAAAAAGGGATAAGGCATATCTCCCCCAGCTAGTCTGCAGTGCTCCAATTAGATATGCATTCTCCTGCTTTGTTTAGATGAAAGCTCATTTCCTGTTTGACACATTACTCCACACGGCTCATTGCAAGCCTAGCTTCCATCCCCAACCACGATTCAGTAAAACTGTTACATAACATTTGGCTGAAACATTTAAAATTCTCCCACCTACTTTTAACATAAACAGAAGTGCTTGTTCTTTTGTATGTAATTTCAATAATGAGAGGTTTGAGATAGCTTTCCGTAAGAGTATACGGTCAAATTAAAACATGATCAAGTGTGAAAAGCATGTGACTGTTTTGAAGCACTCCATCACCCAACCCTCACAGCAATACAAGCAGGAAGGGAGGCAAGCTCAGCTATCAGACAGGGGAGCTGATACCCTGGCTTCAGATACCTTCCTTTGCAGACTCCAAACACAAGTAGGAGAGGACTTGATGCTCTTCCAGTAGCAGCTCTGGAGCACAGAACAGCCAGAGAAAAGCTGAAGTAATTTGAAAGCTAAACCACATTAAAGGCTTGGTAGTCCCTAGCCAACCTGAGGATTAGGGAATGACCACAGAGCCATCTTTCCCCTAAATTCACATGCGTGCTTGAACACAACACAGCTGAACCAAGGGCACGCTGTGTCACAAAGAAATTTATAGTTTTCATTTACACACATTCTGGAAACAGATCCCACATCTGAACACCTAATAGACCTGAGGTGAACGGGACAAATCTCTTTTTGTTGTCTCAAGCAACATAAAGGCCAAAAAATACAAAGATGCATGCACACAAAACTGTCAAATCCCTCAGAAGAAATATGATGAAACAGCTAGGGACCTTGCACTACACATGGTGTTATTTTCAGCCTTTTTCTTTTCTGTCAATATATAAAACTGCACAGTGGAACAGCACGGATCTGACCATGACGGCATAACCTGCACTATCCTGCACCGACTCACAGGAGATGCTGTTTTTATTTAAACTCCCACGTACATTGACAACACCCAAAGTGGTTTATTCCTTTGGACACTCACGCTCTGGAATGGAGACATTATGAAGATTGTTCCCGATCAGCTGGGACTGAAATGCTGAACTGAAGAAACCATCCCCAGGACCACTACAAAAGAGAGCAAAGAATGTGACAATTCAAAGTCTGGCAAAACAGGCAGAGAAAGCTCTGTCATGCATTACCAAATTGTTTTTACAGAAGGAAAAAGATAAAACCAGACATGGCATCAGGAGAAGAGTGACTGCAGTTCCGTTAGATGTACACACCTCTAATGTTGTGAATCACAGCAGATAGAGACAGCCTTGCAAGAAATTGTCCAGAGCTGCAAGGACTTGAGGTCACAGAAATGTACACACTGACACTGCACAAAACACCATCAACTATCTTTGGAGGTGTTCTTATGACAAATAAACTGATCCACTGTCAGGTTATATCTAATAAAGACTCTCTCTGTGCCTCCTTAAGTCTCATTTCTGCTAAGAGGGTAGTGGTAAGACCAGTTGACTTAAAATGAAAAATAACAGATTTAATTTTACAGTCTTTTCTATGGTGAAATCCTTAGTCACCTCATCTCTTAATGCTGGCATACGGAAAAACGTTACTTGGCCATTTTACTGGCTGTTGTGCTCTTTCCACATAAAAAGCACCTCTTGGTTGCAGGCATTCAGGGAAGAGTCCTCCCTTGGAGCACACTCAGACTTTTTTTTTTTGGGGGGGGGTGTGTGTTTGTTTTTTGTTTTTTTTTTTTTTTTTTTTTTTTAAATCGCAGCCAAAGTATTTTTCAGGAATGCAATGCCTTTTTTTTTTTTATTACAAAAATAAAAAGAATGGAGTTGAGACATTTTCAGGCCCAGGAAAGAGAGGAGGAAAATAAAAGAAGACAGGGTTTGGTTAGGATACTTGCTTGGCATTTCAGAAAGTCTTAAGCTCAAACTCAGTTTCACTGCCAGCTTGGCCAGAGCTTTTCTCTATAAACAATGCAGGAGTCTGGGAAGGGAATTAAACAAAGACACAGCTTGTGGCTGTGCTTCTGACACTGTAAATGGAGAAATTCATAATCAATAGTCTTTAATTCAAAGCAAAAACAAGTGATTCTTCTTCTAGAGAAAAATATTATTAAATACCTTTTATTTAATACTGTAAAATGAACAGCAAACATAGCCATGTAGAGGGCAAGCGGGAGCAGGATGAGGCAGAGTACACGAGCCAGTAAATGTTTCCCAAACATGACCTGTAACAAACACGACCTGGATCAAACAGTGCAGCTGCAGGAACATCTCCAGTCTTTATCTCTGAGCAGTGGTCCTATAGCAAAATCTACCACGCAAGCAAGCCCAGCAGGGTGCAAAATTACCTCAAAAAGGCCTAAGGAGTGCTAAAAGTTTAGGCAGACGTTATTGTATATCTTCAAAAGCTTGAGCTGGGGTACCTTGAAATTTCAGGGTCTTGGGAAGAAGACGAAAACAAGCAACAGGAGAGTTTAACTTTCAAAAAAGTTGGGCATGCCTAACTCTGGCAAAGGAGGTTGGGCAGGTCTCATTGACAATACTTCGAAAACAAGGATCTTAACGTGTTCATCAGAGCGGTACACATCTGACACAAAATCACAGCAAGGAGATGTCTTCCAGAACACTAACTGTCAAAGCTAAGCAAAAGGGAAAATGAAAACTACTAAGGGCACAAACTACTAGAAAGAATCCTCCCCAACAAGTCTCCCTATGCAAATATGACTGCAGCGAGGACTTCTTGGGAACCTAGATATGCTGCATTCACAGGAACCAGCTCACTTAGCAAGGATGCTCTCACACTACAACTTCTGTTGTGCTCCTCAGACAGAAGTTACAAAAAAAGTCAGCAGCAAAACCCGTTAGTGTTTCCAGCTGCCTCAGCAAAAAAGCAGAGCGTTTTATTTAAATCCCTTGGAAAGGTGGTTTGTACATAGATGCCCAAGATGCAATTACATGTTCACATCCTACTGACACGGCTGGTAGGAGAGTAAGAAATCTAAAATACAGGGTGGGTAATAAACAGCTGTGGGAGAAGAAAACACCTTAAATATCAAAAATTGTTTGCTAAATGTCCAAATCTAACTTCAAAGCAGACAAACGCAGATGTACTTGCTATCTTCTGTATTTTTTTACATGGTACCTATCATAAAATCATTAAGCGAATTATCCTCTGTGTCCCTTAGTAACAGATACAAAAATTTCAGAAGTAATGGAAAAAGAGCTGAACACATTACAAAACTAAGAACTTACTGAAGTCAACAAAGGAAACAGTTGCTCAGCTCAAGTACTTGAGCAGAACACCACTGGGCACTTGGAAAAATGCTGATTGATGGTACATAACCAAATTTATGCAGCAGAGAGGCATATGAACTAATCTCCAGTTCCCTGTTCAGAATGACCACACTATGCTTCAACCTTTGTGAAAAGGTTTTCTTTAACTACAGACTTCAATGCAAAGTGAAAAAAGAAAATGCACATGAAGGACAATATCAAGCAAACCAGAACAGTGGACCAAGATAAGCTGAGAATTCTAGAAATCAAATTAGTCCCCAAAACCTTGCATGTAAATAATCATGAGTAGTTTCCTAACAAATGCAGAGATAAGTTATTCAGGCTTTCAGGGGTTTAATACTCACTTCTTTTTTTTCCCTCTTCAAGCAGCAAGGTTGCCAAATAGTTAGTTATTCAGAAAGCATCTACCTTCTGGAGTAAATTTCTTTACATATTCTAACACTCAGGGGCTTGCTGCCTTTGCTGCCAGCAGCTCAAATGAAATCACTGTGCAGCTGTCTGCTGGCAGAAAGCTTAGACATGATGGATTTGTTCCATTTCAAATGCAATTAACTGACTTTGCTCAAGAACTGCTTCTCTGGAGCTGGAACACTGCATCTTTGCAGCCCGTATTGATTTGCATTAATCAGAGAAAACCAATCACACAGCAGGAACAGAAAAAGTCCCCCCAGACCCTCACTGTTTATGAGACAAACAGGACAAAAACAGTAAGTGAAAGATAGAGAATTTTCAAGCTTCAGAAGAGGCTGAAACAAGAGGAAAACTGAACACCTTTTAAAAGATGTGCTTGAAGAATTTGTTTTCCTGCTGGCTTCAAGACAGCCAATGGTACACCACGGTATTTCTCCAAATATTAGATTTCACAGTCCCCAAATATAAAATGCAATATATTAGAACAGGGCACCCAAACAGACTAGCAAATTTCTTAGAGCTTATAAGAACTAAATGTGTGTAAAATCGAGCAGGCCATCATCCTTAGGACTTGCTGCGGAGACTGCAAGTTGCAGAGCATGCCTGTGACTCACAATGGACTATAGCACACTACTGCTATGCAGCCTGTGTCCCTGTACTCTCATGAAGCAGAGCCTGAGCTTGCGCTGCTTATGCAAACTAGGTGCTGCAAGACACATCTGTCTGCCAGGTAGCACGTACACCTCAGAAGGTCATGTAACAGTGTTGGACAACATCATGCTTTGGGCCATTATACAGCCATTCCCAACGAGCATTTTTAACCTAGACTGAAATAAAATTCATCCAACTGGAAAGGTAATAGTTTCTCTCGAGAAAAAGCAACAACCTTCTTGCTGTGCTCTTGTGACATTACATCCTGCTGACACATGTGGGGTTTTTTTAAACATATCGCAATAGCTTTTCCATTATAACCTTCATCTTCAACCATCATCATCCACCTCAGATGCCCCCGTTTGCTGCAGACAGAGTGTCACTGTTTGGCTAGTTCCATGGTTGACAGTAACTAGGAGAATTACAAAGGCAAAAGAAAGCAAAACAAAACAAAAAAACCCTTAATGTAAAGAAAAGTTTTTGACACTCACCAGTGACAGGCTGAGGTTCCCCAGCAAGTCCCATAGGTCATAAATTGTGTTCAGGCCAACCAAGAGGACTACAAAAAGACCAACAAACTTTACCCCCATTGCTCCAGCAAGGTTCACGCCAGTCAGACTCAGCCAGAACCACCAGGAGGCCGAAAATGGCCTGCAGGACAGATAGAACAGGTCAGTAAATAAACAATGGCTACTTGAATAGACATCCGAGATCAGGAAAACAAACAGGAAATTAGCTACCCCACAAAATCACATTCCATTTTCTTCTCAGGAGCCCATGAGGAATAGAAATATATTTTTTTTTCATTAATTTTAGAATGATGTAAGGATATCCCTGATACAGAAGGGCCCAAAATTTAAGCCTGGGAAGCCATAGATCTGCCCTTTAAGGAAGAAAACATAGACACCAGCTATAAGTGAAAACACTAGCATGAATAAAGTCTCACACATGGAAGGTCTGAAAATGGAAACCGGACTTCTGCTCCATAAAATGCAAACTTACGTCTCTCAGAAAGCTAAGACATGGGGGAGAACAGGAGAAAATGAACAGCTACTTTTCCTAAAGCAGAAGGGCCATAGTGGAAAACATCTACCCAAAGCACAAACGAAAGCTGCAGCAAAAAGCAAACAAATTACGAACTAAACTAAAATTGAACCACAGCGAAATGATGTGAAAAGATTACAGCAGAATTTAAAACCCTTTTCCTACTGACTTCTGATGCCTTGATGCTTGTATTTTGGCTAGACAAAATCCCAATGACACGCTAAGCAACACAATAGCTAGAGCTGCCTTTTAATTTGCATAAAATCAACTAGTTTGAAAACAGGAATAGCTCTAAGACATGAAAAATAAGTTCAGGTCAAGGCACACAGAGCTGATCAAACACTGCCCTGTAACTTAGTGCTTGCACTCCCTGGGATGTGTGTTGTAGATGAGGATAGCCCCACACGACACCACAGGCTGCATTTTAGCCATTTTTGCTGCAGTCACACCAAGACTTACATGATCACTTGAACACTTCGTGAAACAAAAATTGCTCATGTATAACAGTATTCTAAGCTTTTGTCTTTGAATTCTGGGTGCATTGTGATGAAATTACTCTGTATAGCCCAGCCACAAAGAAGGTTTTTGACATACCCAAATACCTACAAATCACCGTTCCCCTCTGGATGGGTCTACAGCAAATAACCTGAGCAACTTAACTGCTTTATTCAGAAACATCCTGGCTATATTTCTCTCAAATTTTTCGTACCAATTTCTCTAAACCCAACAAATTACACTACTTACCTCACTTAGCAGGATTTTATAAGTCTTTATAGGATTAGAGTCACAGATAAACTGTGTTTCTCCAGCCTGAAGACAAACAGACTGGTTCAAGATAACAAATAAGTATTTTTGCCATTAAGGAGCAAAGCCTTGAACAGGCTCCAACCATCCTTCATTCCTCCTTCTATGACCTACAACGCCCTATACCAGTTTTCTTTCCTGTCAAGCTTTAAAAAGCTTTAACCTTCATTTTCAAGATTTGCAGTTTCATAAACAACATTTCTGCTGAAATTTCCTTTCACGATAAAATAATCTATTTAATAAAATATCTCTCCTGGTTTGCCCCAGCCATGATATCTTTTCTTTAGTTTCACAAACCCTCCTAAAAAAAATTTCTCTCCCCTACCATGAGCCATTTTCGCCTCCAAATTACCTGAAACAATCTCATCTCAGCCATTCACCCAAACTACCAAGTGGCAGACATGTCCTAGTACTTTATCTGTCTGAAAAGTTGAGTACCTATAGTTTAACAAAATTATCATCTTGAGCTTACCTATCCGCACAGCTGTTACATTTCACCATACTCAGAACAGCTCCCATAAGGAAGAACATCAGAATGGGGTCCAGCAGAATATATTGCGACAAAGTAATACAGCCCGTATCTGCAAGCAGACACACAATGTCAAAAAGTCTTGCGGTTCCAAAGTGAACCTAAAATGGCAAGAAGCCAGTTTCCTCAGCGTACGAGGGGAACAAGGGAAATTTTAGAAACAGAAGCAGATCAGAACACTTCAACTTCTACTTGGGTAACAAATGAAAAAAAAAAAATCCAAACAAAAAAACCCTCACAGAAACCAGGCAGTACAACAGTATCCCTGAAACACCATTTGGGAGGTGCTGCTAACATACTCAGATGGAGAGCGTTACAGACAGCAATGATCTACCTACTAAGGCAGCAGCATGGTGCCAGAGGATGCTACAGGAGAAGTAATCTTTCAGAAGTTACCTATAAAAAATGAATATGACTTGGATATTTTAAGTCTCCATGCGTCAATATCTGTGTGTCCTCACAACACCCCAATTTGGGTAACGCCATTTGCAATGGTAATTTCTCCACTTGGCTCAATTCAACAAGGAACTTTATTAATTTCTTACTGTGAACTCTTTCACAGTAATGCAATAGCCTGTTAAATACCTCTACAATTCATATGGGAGACATCAGTATTTCACTAGCAGGCAAATCATTCCTGATAATCTATCTTATAACCATTCTTAAAATTGAGGTGAAATGCAGTCCAACACCATGGTTATGGTTTTAACAGAAGCACCTATGAACTAAACAAGGCTGTAAAATTCTCAAAGGAACCACCAATTAAAAAGCCTCGTATATCCAAAGCAGAATTACTTTGGTTTCAGGAACCTCTCTCATTAACCCAAATATCCCCTGGTTAGGTAACACATGATAATCCAGAAATTAAATTCTCTGAACAATTAACCTGTTCAATTTTGCTGTAGCAGGAACACCTACCAAAAATAAGGATGAAAGCTGTGAGTAAGGCTGCTGGCAGTGACTTTGACAGTTCCAACACTGTGAGGTAGGCGAAGGGAACCAGGCAGGAGCCAAGGAACGCACAGAACTGCAGGAAAAGAATATGACAGGAGAAGTTACAACCCTCCCCACAGTGAACATGCACCCACATGCTTTCCCTTCCTTCATATTCCACACCTACCAACAACAGGAGGTGTTGCAGTAGCTGAACTGACTCACTAAGAACATCAGACAAAAGCCAAATGAAAAAGATATTGTTCACAGAAGAACAGCTGCTTACTCTGTTCTGTCTATAAAGGTGTCAGTAACAACACTTGGTCATTCTCTTGCTAGACTACATCAGATACCCATAAAAAGTTATGTCAAGTAGGTGCACTACACACCCACCATACTCAACTTATTTTAACAAGATCTAAGAACAAAATATACCTGTACCTTACATCTTTAGCAGACCAGTATCACCTCCCCTACACAAGTGAGACTGAGAATAGTTGGAAAAGGAAGAACAGAAATCAAAACAAAAGAAAGCAGGATCACAGTAAAATTTGTTCTCCTCAATGTTTCGTTCTAGCACTTCTCCCACCTTTGGGTCAGGGAAATCTAGAACTGCAAATCACCGGAGACCTGGAAAGTAAACCAAGAAAATATGCCTTCCCAGTTTTTAATCCTTCTTTCTAGGCACTAGCAATTGGCCACTATTTCCTTTTTTGGCCCATGTTATCTGCCGTCAGTTTTATGGCTCTTGGTCTTCCTAGAGAGCAGTAGCCAGGGTTTCAGATAGAATACCACTTTACATAGTAATTTCCCCCCCACCCCCGCTCCATCAGCTTACTCAGCTCAGTGTCACTGGTGCTGGCAAACCGCAGGTGGCAGTGGATGATTCTGGCTTTTTGACATCCTTGGCTCTCCACCAGAGCAGCCAGGCACAATGGAGCGAGCAGAAGCCCAAGCTGAGCCGTGTTCCCTTTGCAGAACAGGCAAGGTATCTGTCCCACTCAGGAGTGCAGTCCCACTGATTAGCAGCAAGGGTTGGCCTCAATAATCACCTTACCAGGCCTCTCACAGCCAGACATTAAGACTTAGTCACAATACAACCACTAACACTTTTCTAAGGAGCTTAAAGACAAGGCCCAAGGCTAAAAAGACCTCTGATCTGATCCAGGATAGATGTTCTTGTGACTTAAGACCACGCGCTGAAAAGCACAGGAGCACTAACCAGCTTGATACTAGCCTGTAGAGCCTTACCGCTCTCATTCCCACGTAGTTGTGCTGCTCATATCTGTCCCCTGGCTTTTGGAAAGGAAATGTACCATCATATCCACTAAGATAGCCAGCAAGTCCAATCAGCATCTGAAGAGGAAAGGTGAAAAAAAAAAACGGTCAGGGAAATTGCATTGGCGGAAGGAGTATCCAAGCCAGCAGCAGGTAAGAGTTTTATAGGAGCCAAGTCTGCTTAATTCAGACACATCATCCAAACAAGAGTTTATGTACAGAATTGACATGCATGCATATTACCCTTTGTCTAAAGGCAAAATCAGAAGGAATCAAAAGGACTTTGTCTGCTGACTCCAAGGAAGCTCAAGAGAAATACCAGGTGTGGTATTTAGCAGAGAGAATTCTGTCTCTGTAGATTCTCCCATAGCTCTCTATTCCTGTAGTTTAAGGAGACTCAGACTGAAAGGAAGATAATCTTTCCGAAGCAGGAGGAGTGCACCTTCATCGACACTGCACACTGCTGCTAGAACAAGTTCTTTGATTACAGAATAGCAAGTCAAGGTTTTCAGGGTCCTTTGTAGTAAAAGTCTCATTTACACACAAGCTATCAGGACCTGTTTGGTTCCTTTAAACCACAGGCTTCTATTAAATATCCCCTCCAAACCATCTAAGTGCCACGTTCATTTTTTAATGTCAAGCCTTTCAAATATCCAACATGCAACACTGTTTTGTTTTCCATATTCAAAGCATTTTCAAAAAGAATAAAAAATGCAAGTTGAGGCTCTGGATAGAGAATGCAAATTACCATGATGCCAACAACAGTTAGGAAAGGTGTTCATCACACCCTTCAGCCAGAAGGATGGGGAAGCCTCTTGTTGGCCCACTCCCATGGCTTCTAAAACATGTAATAGAAGAGCAGTTTACCTTCCCTAAAGGGGGGTGGACATCAAAGAAGAAGGTCCGATTAATGTAGTAACTTCCCATCTTCCCAAAATGAGTTTCATCCCAACTGGAAAAAAAACAAAACAGCAAACAGCCTGCTATAATGCTAAAGATAGTAAAAAAATCCAGGAAGGTCATTTTACTCGTGTTTTTCATCATGTAGAGGGTTAGTGCCATACATCCTATATGAGACAATGCATTACATTCACTAGGAAATCATGGAGGGCACTTCAGCTATTCTAGGCAGAGCCCTTTTTGAAGAGTTTGACACTAGCACTCCAAAACCTCTAGTCTGCCCTTCTGACTTGTTAAAACATGTTAAAAAGTCAGCCTGCAACCCAGAGACCCCCAAAACCGCCTCCCCGAGACCCGGGATCCCCTCTCTACAACACGGCCCGAGAGCGGCGGTGAGAAGGGGCCGGGAGCAGGCTGGGCAGAGAGCGCAGCGCTTCCCTCCGGCCCTCGCTGCCAGGATCCCATCCCACCGCCTGCCTGGAACGCACACGGAGCCCTCCCCAGCCGGGCCAGGCAGGGGCGGG